ATATATGGAGATTTTATTGTAACATGTATAACATCCTTAATCCTCTTATTTAGATGTGTAGCTGTGTTGCTTGGAGGAATCTATCTGAGCAGCTAAAATAGATTTATGGATAGGATTGGATAGTTTAAAATGATATAAAATGAAACATTATTTCATGTAGTCTTTATTTACAGTTAAATAAAAATAATAAACGATCTATTATGCCAGTGTGGTTTTGCTTAAAACTTGAAAGACAACATTAGAGCAAATCGTTAGTGTTAGTTAAAATTGCAGAACAGATTTTTTTCTATGACAAAATGCTCATTTAGTAAAATGCAGGAATTTTATGGATTTGGTGACAAATATTTTGTTTGGATTTATTATATTTAAAAATGTTTTTTTCATTGTACTCAAAACAGGATGACCTCAATATAAGATATATATTTTCAGGATTAAGAATGAATTTTAACAGCGAAAATGGTCCATCACTTCAGCGTGTGAAATAATTTGGTGTAAAGGAAGGCTGGGATATTTTCATGGAGGAGGAAGGCAAGGACATTTTATGAGTTTTACCATTTGAGAGTTCCTGAAGAATAGATTCTTCTAAATACTGGTCATATTTTTTAATTATTAGTATATTATATCCTTTCACTAACTAAAAGAATAAAAGAGCAATCTTACAGCTAGTCAACATGATGGAATTGCTAGATAAGTAGTTCAAAATTTGTGCAGGTACCTTGGTTTAGAAGTGGAGACAGATTAAATCCATATAAAAATCTATTTGAATTGGATATGAGATTGGTTTAGATAGTTTCATGTTTGAGGCCAAATCCAGACAATAGATAATATAGCTTCTGTGAAACTTTTCTTTCAAAGAGTCAAAGTTTCATTTTTATCCTAAAATTGATTTAGAAATTGGGATCAGGGAGCTTATGAGAACTGGAAGTTTGATGCAGCTCCTCTAAATAGTTGCATCATGGCAAACCGAGGAAAAATCTAGAGCAAATCATAAAATTTCTTGAAGTATCAGTTTGACACTGTTTTCTAAGAACACTCTTTACTGAGAAAACTCCAAAAGGACAGTTTCTGACAGATTCAAGATTGATCACAAGCTGGCACTATACTGGACAGCAAACAATGTCTGTATAGTGTCTTATTAGCACCAACTTGTGTTTCTTTGTGTCATCTGTCTTCTCTGATAGCATTTGATTTTGCCAGAATCAAAGGCTATCACATTATTTGCATCATCTTTTGCACAGGAGATGAAAGTAGATTATTTATATCTTTTATTCAGGTATATATCTTTCACTTGGAAGACAGTGAATGTGTTGCAGCACTGAAGAGCGTGTGTCTTGAAGATTGCTCACGTTACAAGACTGATTTTCTTGTATCACTGCATCTGTCTGAAAAGCTTGGAGGTTACTTTGTAGTATGTTGTTCTAAAGTCTGTGACACACTTTGGGAAATAGAAATCTATCTTCAATACTACTGTTCTAAAACAATATAGAGAAAAATACAAATTGTTATTTAATGGTATTATACTAAGATTAAAATAATGAACGATAATTTCCAAACTACATGAATGACAGCTTTCAGCCTAGTTCAGAGCTTTGAGTACCAAAAGTTGGAGTTTAACTGTTTCAGATGGAAATTACAATACATGTAACTGAATGCCAGTATTTTCATGCACTTAAGTACTATGTTTTGCAACATAATCAAAATAAGATGCCATCCAGTCTTGCAAACCAAACAAGCACCATATGAGAAAGCTGCTTATTGATGTTTTAGAAAAGTGGTTTATCACATAACAAACAAGTTAGGTGACTTTTAAGTCACCTAAACTTCTCCAGTTACTCCTGTAACTTGCATATCATCTAGAAGCTTTATTTAGTAATGAGTTGCTGTCTTCTTCCAGGTAAGTAGATGATTTTAATAAATCTGAATAGTCACTTTAAGTGATTTAAAAGGAGGAAGAATCTTTATGTTTGATAGGTATATTCCTAACAAATTTTATCATTGATTCAGAACCGTGTTAAATGTTTCATACGTTTAGCGGTCACTGAAAACCTCGTTTAGGTGTTCTCAAGTGTGAATTTGAGTCTGGATTTCAGCAGTAGCTGTAAGCTCCTGTACAAAAAAACACTGCTTTTTTGTATTAGTTTCCTTCCTGATAAGATTCTAACTCTTGAAGTTTAAAGAACAAAAAAATCTTTCAGCACTTTGAGAGTGAAACAGAATAGCCCTGTCATACTGCAGAGTTGTGCCCTGGAGAGTGTTTAGTTTGTCACAACATGTAAATGGTAATATAAATGCAGTTATTTCACAGCAGGTCTAACAAGAACTCTTGAATGACAACTTGCATTATGACTCTACTTATTTTTGCATTAGCAAAAGAGCTCACCCAAATATGACAAAACAAACTTCAGGAATCAGGCTTTTATTAGTTATCCCTCAGTTCTAGAACATTGTTCTAACTTTTCTGTTCCCTCTTCTTCATCAATGCAAAGGTTCAGGACTGCCTATTGAAAACAAATAAGCATTCAGAGGATGTCATTATTTTTCCCTATGTGGCCAGACTGTAACTTCAATATAGTTAACTGCTTTTTACAGCATTCTGTAGCGACATTTAATTTACAAGAACTGCAAAATGGAAGTTGTCACTGAAATACTTTGCCTATTTTAATGTTTGGGCAATACAACTGAGAAGAAAAATATCTGTTAGATATAAGCATCGGTGTCACTGCCACTGTTGTTGTTGTATAAACAGCTTTTGATAAACATGATTGTGAACGGCCCTTATGTTTATCTAGCACATTACCAGGCGCTGGTGTCTTTTGTTGTTAAACAGACTCCAAGGAGACTGCCTATTTCAGTCCTTAGGGCAGCTTAATTAAGCTTGCACAATGTCTCAAATAGATGACGCAGGGTACTACCTCAATTTACTGAATCTGCTCCTTTTCATATTCTTCCTTCTCATAATTCTGTGAGCTACAGCAGGCTGTCCGATAACTTTTCAAAGACTGCAGGTGGGCAGTATCATGTAGAAACAGATGAATTAGTATGAATTTCAGGCCTCTTGCTGACATTCATCCTGTTTGTACTCAGTTGGTTATTGGCTTTGGTTATTATAAGGTGATTTTGTGACTCAGAATTCCTGTAACTTGAGTATCATCTAGAAGCTTTATCTAGTAATGAGGTGCTGTCTTCTTCCAGGCAGCTAGGAGGTTTTAATGAATCTGAATAGAAATTTTAACAGTCATTTGTTATCTAGACTGAACTGATTGCTGTTGGCATGAAGTGCATAGGTAAAAGGCCACTTCTATCTCTGTATCTATTTTGAGTTTTTGTATGAATATGTGGTAGGTCCCATTCCTGCACTGAAATAATAAGGATTTTATTGCACCACCCACAAGCTTAAGGAGAATCCTTACTTCTGCACAACTCAATAGTGCTGCTTACTTGAGAAAACACAAACATACTTATTCCTTTCACAGATAGGAAAGGATCACCAAACAGTCTAAAAGTAATCCAAGACAGCTGAAGCTTTTGTCTGCCCCTCTTGCCCATGTATTTTTCCTCTGAAAATGTGAATACACTCATGACTGTACTCGCTTTCATTTAAGCTGGAGAAAGCTCTTTTTATCTGTTCGTTCTAAACCCATGTTGACATCTAATGCTATCTGTCCTTGGGGTTAATTACCCTAACAGTTATTGAGGTTAATTATTCATTAATAACTCCAGTGTAATAAAAAGCACCTGGGATGGAGTAGACTGGATGTGGAACACTGAACACTTAGCTAGTTTACTCTGTGTATGTGCATGTGTTATGTATATTTAAAAAAAAAAAAAAAAGAGTTGTGGATAGGCTGAAGCTGGAAACATGCAGCCACAAGGACGGGGCAGGGAAAGACAGGGCTCTTCATGTTTCATTTGCATCATGTTCACTCACCCATGCATATTAGAGAGAGCATTTTTCTCTTCAAATAAAAGAGCATTATACTAGAAGGCCAAGATTAAGTAGGAATGTGTGGGCCTAGGGATAGCATTAAAGTGTAATATAAATTATTTGCAACCTTATTTATCTAAGTTCAGTCTATGGAGGGTAGTAGAATTTTAGCATATAGAATTTTGCTGTATACTTTTATTTTGATGCTTTCTATTATATTACAAGGCAGTTGATAAGAAAAAATGTGAAAATGGTGCGAGAGGAACCTGTTCCTCTTTTCTTCAATTGTTTAAAAAAAAAAGCCTTGAAATGTTTATTATCAAAAAAAATAATGATTTTAGAGTATTCTGTTCTAACTATAACATGCTACTGAAAAAAGTTGTTCAGAATAGGAGTATTAGGTTTTCTTAATTTTAGATTTATTCATTTTATTTGCCCTTTGGAAGTAAGCAGGCTAGAATTGCAAATAATGTTTGAAGTATAAATAATGGGAAAAAGTAATTACTAAATTATTGTTTAACCTGGTTATCCAATGTAACAAATATTGATCTAGCTCATGATATCTTGTCAGTTTAGCAGATATGAATGAAATAAATCTTCTGTATTGAGAGCTAAGTAGTTCATCATCAAGTATTCTCTCTCTCTCCCTTTTTTTTTTTTTTGGTAATTTGTTTGGATTTAATATTGACAAAGTAAGGCCAGTTGTGAATCCATTCACTGAATGAGTACTTGTTGAAGCATATCATATTACTGAGCAGGAAAATGATACTGTGTGACTTCAAATCGCCTCTTGCCCTGCTAAGTGTAAAATTATCCTAATTACCAGGATAAATTTGCATATAAAGAATAATATAAATAGAGTTAATGTTTTGTAGAGTATTGTGAAAATGTTGCTGCAGTACTTGTGTGTAGAGTGAACTCATGGATTTTGCTTTTGCAAGGTCTCATCAGTCTATGAATAAATTTATCAGAGCTATTTTAAATTATTTTTGCTCATACTTGGCTGTTCTGAGTGCTTTTTCTTTCTTTTTTTTTTTTCTAATCTTTTGGGGTTTTTTGTTTTGTTTTGTATTTCCTTAGGAGAAATAAAGATCAAGCTGACAGAAGTAATTTTGCAAAAGCAAGATGGGCCAGGGCTATTCAAAAGGTAGGATCTTTGTTGCTACTGTTTATGTGCTACTGAAACTATTTTTTTTCTCGGAGGGAGAATTCAGTAGAAAGTTGTAGTTTATGTAAACTAGTCGTTTACAGCAGGCTCTGGGGAAATGACTGCTGACTTTCTGGGAATTCAGAGGTCATCAGTTTTGCCAGCATTCCTCAGTATTCCTATTAGTCATCTCAGCCGTGTGGCACTTCTGCATAAAGGAGAGGGAATAATAAACCAGTTCTTCAAATTGTTTGCATTAATCAACTTAACTACTTAACTGACTTTAGGGAAGCAGTTACAGTAAACTGAATTTCAGCATCATATGTTCTTACACTTATTATATAACTTAAATATGGTCTGTTTCTTTAACTACATAATATTTTTACCTGTATTTAAACTAAGTTGGTCGTGTAAAATAGAACCAAGGAGGCAATTACTTGAATCTTTGAATGTTTGATGTTTGTGTTCTAGATCTGAACATTTTTCAAAAGATGAGAATGAGATAGCTTCTTTACAGCTGTTCATGCTGTATTGTTTATATAGTGTTTCCCAGAGCATTAAATACAAATGTTTAAATTGTGTGAGTTCCACTACAGTGTTGTATAGAACAATTATGTAGTTATGAAAATTAGGTTTTGCTGTGAATTGGAATGAAAAACCAAAGGGCTCTCGTTTTCCAAAATTAAATAACCACGTTGAATCTGTCAGACTTTATGCTCTGTGCTAATCCATTTGTCTGGACAGAGAGAAGAGTTTGGGCTGTGAGGATAGCTGCCTGAGAATTGCTTGTGGTGTGCTGAGCCAAGCAGGAATTACAGGGTGATGCACTTCTGAGTTCCAGATTTCAGTGAAATAAATAGTTGTGAGATCAGTCTTACTAGCCTTTGCCAAATAAGTACAGTATTTTTAAGAAGGGACAAGGTTTCATCTTTGAAGAAACCACTGATACTTTCCAAAAGGAAGGGGAAATTACCACAGTCTGTCAGATTTTCATAAATGCGAATTCATAAATATATTCTTGGGTATTCATTCATCTCATGTTTGGTAGTGGTCACTTAGACTTATTTTCTTAGCAAGGTATAATTTCTTTATTTCCTTAATTGAATTCCTTTTAGTTTCTTCTAGCACTTACAGAAAACTCTCTGCTTTGCCATGTATATTACATTACACAGATTTATACATAACACTGTTTATATTCATCTAGGCTTAAATATTTCCATTGGCCTATGCACACCTTGCGTGGTCTTAAAGCAAAATGCCTGGTTTGACCACTTGTCATATTTACTTGCAATTAGTTCATTGTAACAAATATGGTATCTTTCCCTCTTTTGTTTTTCCTCTTAAGTGTGATAGATTTGGGAGACCAGAACTGCAGTGTGTTGTAGGAAGTAGGAGTGTGAGAAATGAGATATGCAATGAAAATGTCATTCATTTCTTAGGCTCACAGCTACTACAGCCTCATGGCAGTAACTTGCTGCAGGGAGGTTTCCCCCTTTGTTGGGTCTTATAATTTGAATTTTGGCAAATAATACCTTCTAAATATCCTGTTTTAGCAAGTGGAAGTGATTTTTTTTTTTTCTGTAGTTTACCTCTGAAATTTTGTTAGCAGAAGATGGAAGGGTGTATTTTTTATTTATTTATTTATTTTAGTGAGGCTAAGTGAGTTCTTTTTCAAGTGAGGCCACTAAGGAATGTTATATGGACCAGTATTTCTCTAGGAAGTTGGTGGGTGATTGCTATTCTTGAGGATCTCACGGGACTCCTTTTTGATGGCTGACATTAACATATCTGCAGAAAGTTAGGGAATCATTTCCTAGGAGAAGGTTCAATCGTCTTTTCCTATTTGTAGTAGATATTTCTTTATGTCTCTGAGTGTTAGTTTCTTTCTTAGATATTAAATGCATTTCTTTCCAGAAGGTTTGAAAAGAAAATCCCACACTTTCAAGGGAAATTCTTTCAGGTTGACCAATGGAACTTATCCAGGTCAACTCCTCCATTTTAAAAGGCAACATCAGGGGAAAACTGCTTCATGTATGGTGTCATGTCCAGCATTGGGGTCTGAGGACTGCTGAGGAAATGTCCAGTGGTTACAGAAGGAAAGAGCCTTGACAGAGAGCGCGTATGACGTACTCTTCATTAATTTGACAAACATTTCTGGAAGATAGACTTTAAATCAAAAATCTTTTAAGTGCATATAAAATTTTATTTACACACACACAAACACAGACACCTGTTTTTTTGAGTTTTGGGATGACATATTTCATTAGGCTAAAAACAAAGCAAAAAATAAGAATTCCCTAAAGGAGATGACTTAGCTTGTGGTAAATCTTCACAGAAACGAATGTCTGTATGTGGGAATTACATTGATAGACTGTGCTCCCTGTCCTTAAGGATTTGAAGAAAGAAGGAAAGAATGACCTTTAGTTACCACAAGGAAGGCTAGTTAGGCTCTGGAGCAGGCTGTAGTGTATCCATCACTGGTTTCCTTTAGAAGAATAAAAATATTGATCAATCTTATGATTACTGTTAATGGAATTTCAAGGAAGGAGGTTTAATTTGGAAAGAGGAATGGAGGGGTATTCCGAGTGAGTGACCTTTAAAATAGGCAACTGAAAGTACCTGTAGGCCCTTAAAGGAGAAGGATGATGCTACTGCTTCAGGTATTTCTTCTCAGAAGTGACATGAATTCTTATTGCATTAAAAATATATGGATAGTTTATTAACAAGTCTGTGAAAAGAAATGTCTTGTTTGAGGAGCTATTCCAGTAGGAATGTTTGGGATGTAATCTTTGGACAGCTGGCCAAGGGAAATAAGGTGCCGTGTTAGGCAGTTCTGATGAAATAGGAGATGACAATCTGAGAGTGACCTGCGGCAGTGTAGCTAATGAATATTTACTCCAGGGAGGGGAGAGGGGGTGTAGGCATTTGAAGAAAGCTACATATTAGGAAGTAGAAATAAAAGAACGAAGATAGTTTAGTTGCAGTTGTGCTTGTTGATTTTAAAAAGAGAAATCCAGAACAGAATTCCTTAAGCCCAATGTGATCCTAATACCTGTTTTTCACTGTAGTTGGGGACAGTCAGTGAGTGATTTTCTTTTTTTTTTTCTCCTTAATGCTGTCAGATTTGAGAAGAATGTTATTATGTACTGGCAGTAATTATGAGAAGGTGCATTTAGGGTTTTTTTTCTTTCTTTCTTTCTTTTAGATCACTGTTATTCAAGAGTAGAATCAGGTGGCTTCTCCTCCCTTGCCCTGCCAGCCCTGATGGTTGTGTGTGTCATTTTGATTATAACTTCAGCTGCTAACCCTGTGTTTACTGGAGGCTGTCTGTTGTTTAAATATGGTCATTTGAATAAATAACTGTCACTTTCCTGAAGTGGATATATTTGTTATAAAGTGCATATCATGGTAATTGATTCTGAATTGAAAGAATATATAACTGGCTTAACCCTTGCATTATTTCACAACTGTACAGTCCATGAGTCCTGGAGATGGATAGAGGATAATAATGGTGCTGTACGGACTGGTCTTACAACCTGGAGAGCAGTGATAGTGATGCAGACGTGTCCAGACAAATGCTGGGGTTTTTTGTTGTTGTTATTCTAGGTTAACTATGATGGTGCAGTAACTGTCAGTAACTATCAGTAACTTAGTTTTGGCAGCAGATACCGATTTACTGTCTCACTGAGAAATAAAATTTGGTAAACACAAAAATGTACATTAGTGACAGCAGAGAGAATTTAAGAATATGTGAACAAAGACAAAATTCCTCTGTTTGGAATTGGGAGCTATGAAATTAATGCAAGAGGAAGGAAATTACTAAAAGAAAATAACTTTGAGAAATATCTCCCAGATAGCAGAGTGATTTCCTAGCCTAAGAAATATCCTGTTAGAAGCGTATATCCAAAAAGTATAGTTTTGAAACATACGTTATGGTCAGGCAGTTCGTAAATTGTCCCCCATCCTTCTTGTTCTGAGGAGTTTCCATTTCAGAAACTATTTCATTAGCTATAATGATAGTAGATGCCATTTTAGCTGTATAATCTGAAGTTTACAGAAAATAGGCTAGTTGGTCTATTCAGCAAGGAGAGCAGAAGAGGGGCAGAAGATTACATGTCCTTCTGAAACTCAAGCCAGTTTTTGTCTTAAATTGCAGCCTGATGGTGGCTGTTACCATGGTTTTAAACTGTTTCCTTTTTCCGTCTTGTTTTTTTTTTAAGTTACGTGAAGAAAAAGTAGTTTCACAAGTTCGAAGTTACATAGTTTTGTAAATCTAGGACTCCTTAAGAAAACTGTTTTTACTGGGGACCCAGGAGGGTTTCCGGGATGGCCGGCAGGGGGCGCGCAGGGAGCGGGCTGGCGGCGCGGCAGGGCGGGGCCCTCGCTGCTCCTCCCGGCTCCCCTTGCGCGCCGGAGAGACAGCTGGTTGCGTTGCACTACGGGCTAGGGGGTAGCCACAAATGCAAGTATTTTCGTTTGAAGGACAATTATTCCTAAGCAGTATATAAAAAACATTCAATAGCTGTTTTCTTCCGTTTTGTACATACTTTTTTGAGTATTTTCAGATGTGTGTAAAATCAAACTGCGTAGGGCAAATACCCTCTCTTCAATCTGCAGTGGAGTTCCAGCCACAAAACCCCTTACTTTGTATTACACTGCCTTGTGAGTTTGTTCTGCACATAATGTGATTTGTTGCAAGCTTGATAACCTGTAATGTATTCGATGTCCTTAAATGGTGTGCTTCAGGCATGTTATTTTTAAGATAATATTTATTCTTCATATCACTGCACCTAACCAGAGATACTCAAACACCATTTACAGTATGAGGTGGCATAATGGTTACTTTTCTGCTTGTAATTTTTAACCTTGTGGCCAGATGATTGAAGAGGGTTCCCTATTCCAACATATTAAGTGTTTCTCTTATGTGAGAGTGGAAAAGCGATTCCATAAATAAAGTTTAGAGAGCAGGAGCTGACTTGTTTCTGTACAGCTGGTGACTTCTTCAAGTTGTGAAATTGCATCTTGCACATACAGTGAATATTATGAATTGCTGCTTTTAAGGCTTCCAAGTGTATATGTGTCTGAAGCTCTGTTGTATTTTGTCTATTTTTTAAGATGCTGGTTCAGTAGCACCACTTGTGTTGTATCAACAGCACTTGACCAATGACTACTTCAGACAATTATCACTGGAAGATGTGGTCCTGTAATATGGAAATGGGCAGACAAATTACCTGTTCTTTTCATGCAGACCTTTAATTTCACGCTGATTTCTTTGTATATGAGTTGGCTTGCTGGGCAGGCTAGGCTAAATGAGTTGCTGACTCTGTTAGGATGTTAAGTTTCGTCCAGAATTGCATAACAGAAGTTTTACCATTTATATACACAGTCTATATTTGTCTTATTAATTGTGTGATAGTTTAACATCACATCTGTAATGCCTTAGTAAAGCACAGTATCAGCCCTTAAAGGTTGTTCTT